CACATCCATAAGTGGGCATCTGGCTAGTTAAAATCATGCCTGACAACAAATGTTGCCAGATCAGTGTGCTGAGCTAGAGAGATTCCATTATAGCTTCATTTTCTTCCTAGGGCTTTGCCTCCATGCTCCCAGAAGCAAACTCCCAAGTGTAACTTGGGAAAGATGCTGCTGCATCCAGGTTGACAGTGTATGGTATTTACTTATAACCTTTCTCAAATTTTAACAGCATGATGATGCTGCAAATTGACAATACATCAGATGGACTTAATGCTGTGTAGTTCTCATCTTGATTCCTTCACTGGGAGATAAGTCCAAGGTGTTTATGCTGTGCCTGTGTCTTGCATCTGAAAAGCTATGAGAGGTTTTTTAAGCTATCATGAGGCTCTGATTACCATATAGCTTTGTTTTTTGCACCAAACTCCGTACCAGTCCTTTTTATTGAAATCAGGTTACATTTTCATGTCTGTTCTGGGCATATATCTACATCTACATCTGTGCATGCTTTGTTGCTGTTTGTTATAATGTTCTCAGGGGCTAACTTCTTATACTGTTTGCAGACCTTTCTAGTACTCAAGTCTGGAAAAGTTCATGACCTACTGGTACCCTAATGATTCTTAACCAGCAGACAAATTAGTTATAGTAAGGTCTGTCTCTACACAAAATTGATTTGGACAGGGACTGAAACACCTGCAGTGGCTTTTGCTAGCATGGGTCAGCACCATCGCTGGGGTGACACAGGTTCAGTAAGTTTTTCTATTTAACAGCCTTTTTCATGGACCGTTGAGTTGGTAATCTTAATATACATTTTAGAAATAACTGTCCATGAGTCTATTCAAGAACTCCTAATAAGAGCTAGGACCACTAAATTTGGCCTGCAGCTTCCTCTTATTACTTAAAGCAAGATAAGGGTTTCATTGTGCCAGGACAATGGGATGTGCCTGGAATTGGATTGTTTCTCAAGATAGAAAGGGAGGGGTTTGTTAGAAGGGAATTATACTGTTGAATTACCTAAGGGAGAAGCAAGGGGCAAAGATGGAAACTGGGACAGCTATAACCTAATTGGGCAGGCAGGGTTGGAGAAAGGGACAGCTGTCATGACTGACTTAAAATTGAGATCTAAAACTAGCTTTTGGGGGGGTGGGAGGGCTTCTAATTTGAGCCCTGAGGGTTCATGTGTTCAAGTTTTTCTCCATAGCTGTCAGATTTAGAAATACTGTAATGGCAGGGGGGAATCCAGGAAAGCTGAGTTCTCATGTAATCAAATGATTCCAGGAGCTTGGGGCTTTTAAAAATAACACGATAAAGCTGTAAAAATTGACCATGTTCTCAATGAGCTTTCTTTGGCTTCACCATGTTTACCCCACATGGTCATGCCAGCTGTTACTTTTCTCAAAGGGGCAGATTACAGATTTTTTTTTAACCTGACAAGTGGATTTGAAAGTGTGTATAAAAGATGCATGACTGGAGGAGTTGTACTTACCTTAGGACAGGAGGGTTTCCACATGCTAATCAAGTGCCAGTTGACTTGCATCTTAGGCGTATCCTAGTCTATAGTGTGCATGGATGCACTGAATGAGAGTACCACGCAGTGCAGCATGATTGGTACTCTGCTGTGTAGAGACCGAGAACTGGAATAGTGGGTTGCAATAGTTCAGAAATTAGATGGGTTGGCAGAATGGTGGAATGGGGCAGGCAGGAGTACTGGAATAATGCGAGCTATTGAAGGTCAGCATAGAAGGGGTGTTAGCGAACTTAGTGCTTTCAAATAAACTTTCACTGAGCCCTGCTTGCCATTCATACTCTATTTGAATTATTTTCTGCATATGCTTCAGGGGATAGCCAAGTTGGTCTGTACAGGATAAACTTAAACAACAAATGGTCTGGTAGCACTTTATAGAATAACAAAACATGTAGATGGTATCATGAACTTTTGTGGGCATGTGAGCTTTCTCCAGTCATCTGAAGAAGTGGGCTGTGCCCACGAAAGCTCATATCATCTACATGTTTTGTTAGTCTATAAAGTGCTCCCAGACCATTTGTTGTTTCCACATATGGAATGTGATTGTGACACATGTAGGGTTTTTTGTTACTTGCATGTTGCTAGGCTGTTTGGTTACTTTTAATATTCCAGCATTTCACCAGCCTGGCCACTTTGTGGGGTATTTAGAACTAAGTGTGCAAGACTTGGTGGATGCAACTGCTCCCTAACTCCTCTGTGGTCATTAATACCTAAGCTTAGAAATCCCTCCCCTGCTGGCTGAGAACAGTGACTTGGCATCCTACACACTGGTAGGTCTCCTTGAATTTGGACCTGTCTGTTTAAACAAGGGCTCCAGATACAAGATATGGTGCTAAGGAGAAATATGGGAAGCCTTTCAATTCTGCCTCCCTGACCATGCAGACAGTATCACAGCTGCCTCAGTGCAGTGCTTGTGAACCATATCTTGGGGTTTGCTGAAGAGGCCTGGCAGGGTCAGTGCTTTGCTTTCATGTGCCCTATTTCCTTCCTTCATTTCAACCCTACCGTACACCACCATTTGCTTTACACAGCAAAACAGCAGCTACTTAATGGAGTAAGACTCCACAGAGTCATGGCTTGAGAATAGATAAGATCTTTATCCTAACAAGGGGACAGAGCAAGATGTTTTCCAGAAACGAAAAAGCATTGATTGAGCTCCCCCTTAAAGGAATTCATCCAATAAAAGTTGCTTCCACAATTGCTCACTTGGTTGAGTGTTGCATGAGAAGGTGCTGCTGGTGCAGTCTCAGACCAAATACAAATGGCTTATTTGGGTTTCTTGAGTTGAAAGCTTCTTGAATGAGGAGCAGCTGTCACTATGGAGGAAAGCTATGTAGAATGGCATCTGTTCTAGACAGGAGCCTAAACCACTGTGTTGTGGGAGAGGAAAGATGTGGCGCTGCATGTCCTTACAAGCAATCTGTTAATGTTGAGATGCTCTGTCTCAGATTAATTGCTCATTGCCACGGAGTCCTGGGAAACCCACACTTCTGTTTTTTTCCCCCCCTCCCCCTCCAGCCTTGAGAGAAATCTGGCAAGTCCCTGTCAGTTCCAAGACAGTATTTGTAAGGCCCTGGTGTGACTTAGAGATTATCTCCTCACTTTCCACTTACAGCCATAACTGTAAAATTTAAGATGTCCCTAGAAAGGTTCACAGGTGTCAAATCACTTCTATTTCAGGTTCCCATAGGGATATCAGGATGAATCCCAACCTTCTAGCTCTTGAAACCACTGGATCTCCCCTCCCCCTGCAGCAGTGGCACTGTTATCCTGACTGCTGCTGTTCAATTAGACAAACACAGAGGACTGATTTCTCGTGGCAAATACCAACAAATGGTCCAAAGGCATTGAAGGAGAATAGAACTGCTTTTAATCAAGCATCATGACTTGGGGTCAAAACAATTACTTTGATTTTTTTTCTAACTTAGCATAGGAAGCTGAGACTTTCAAAGCTAGGAGCTTACAATTAGACTGTTAACTTTGTATTTGGGCAGCTAAGGGGCCTTACTGCTTCAAAGATGCTGGCTACTGCAGCTCCTGGTGACCTCAGTGGGAGCTGTTGGATGCTCAGTGCATGTGAAAATGAAGCCACTGACTCCAGGTTCCAGGTTTTAGGAATCTGTCAATATTAAAGGTCATGCTTACTACCTGGAGACAGAAATCTAACAGGGAGAAACTACACTTATCTCCTTTGCGTGGTCTGTACTGGTCACAAAACCACCTTTATGGCAGGGGATTTTTCAGCTTCCCTATTTCTTCCACCCCCCCCAGCCTGCTTCAGTGTACATCTCAGTGGGATAGACAAGACCACAGATTGGGTTGCTTGAAACCCTAGTGTCCCACTCTAGCAGAGCAAGCCAAAGTCATTAAAGTGGCTTTTATAGGCAGGGAGAGAGGAAGCCAGAACTCTGATGGTAAGTTTGTGAGGTGGGAGTGGAAGCTCCCAAGGAAGTGTGGGTTGGTGGTGTGCATGTGAAGTAGAAGATGGTTGAAATGACAGCTGTTCAGTGGCAGAAAGGGAACTGAGATCACATGATGGCAATATGCTTTACTAGCACTCTTCTTCTGGCCCATCCATTTCTGTAGAATTTTTAAATTTTCTTTTCAGAAAACTAAAGTTCTGTCCCCCTGTGAAGAAAACTACCTGAATGCAGAAGCTGTTAAGTTGCTGCCTTCCTTTCACTGCAGCCAGATACTAGCTCTATGTAGTTTCATTCTGCTGTCAACTGAAGCCTAGTAATTGTCAACTTGCTAACTTTTGGTTGCTAACTTTCTAGTCCATAACTATCTACCCGGGGAGTCAGGGAGGAGCTTGAGTAAACTACTGCCTCTTCTCCTAATGTGACTCATGGGAGTGTGCTCAGAAGAGTCCAGATGAGGAGTGAGAAAAGAAATCCAACACAGGTTCTTCCTTGTCCCAAAAAATAGCAACATCTGGTCAATAACGTTGGGCTACGTCCACACTGCAGGCTTCTTGCGCAAGGATAACGTTAGGCTACGTCCATACTGCAGGCTTCTTGCGCAAGAACTGTTTTGCCCAAGAGTTCTTGCACAAAAAGCCTTGTGCACGAGCACGTCCACACTGCCATGTGCTTTTGCGCAAGAGCATCCATGGCAGTGTGGATGCTCTCTTGTGTAAGAAACCTCTGATGGCCGTTTTAGCGATAGGGAGAGCTTGATAAATAATACAATCTACTTGCCCATGGCGAGTAGATTGTAACCCAGAGGAGCTGGGTTCGGGCGATCTGCGCATGTGCAGAATAATCTACGCATGTGCAGATCGCCGGACAGCGTGGCTGGCAAGCGTTGCCGCGGTTCGGCGAGCCCTGGCAATAGGGGTTTCTTGCACAAGAAACTCCTGTTGCCCGTCCACACTGCCTTCTTGTGCAAGAGCGGAGAGGGATAACTCTTGCTCAAGAAGCCCTCTGTTCCAACGCCTTACTGTAAATTTACTTGTGCAAGAGCACACGTGCAGTGTAGACACTCCGGAAGTTTTTGTGCAAGAAGCCTGCAGTGTAGACATTGCCTTAGAGCAAGCTAAAGGTACAGAGAAGATGAAATTGCCACAGTTCTTTAGCTATTTTTCAATTGTGATGCATTTTTAAAAATTGTATCCTCTTAAATCATTGTTAGGGAAATGTCTCTCTCCAGGGTGCTGAGTGACTCCTCTTCATAAAGCATTTGCCAAAGAACAAAAAAAAATTACTGAAGGTGAGCGCATCGAAATTTCACAGCAGTTAGAAATGTCATTGTTTTGAAGTCTCCATTATGTAAATGATGTTGTCTCACACTGGGCTGTCATTTGCAAGGCGGTATAAACTAGGCCCAAAACATTGCTGGAAGAAATCACAGGCAGGTGGAAAATTGTAAATTATACAACTTAAACCAAATCAGTTTTTAACTCCACTTCATGCGTAGATGGCGGTGGAGGGTTTGCTGGCTGAAGTGCAGCTTATTTTATAGCTTAAGGATTAATCTGCAATTCCTGCATTCCAATATGTCATCCTCCATTCCTCTTTTTAAAGCAAATAACCCCCAAGTGGCAAAACAATCTTATACTTGTCTCCTTTTACTTGAAGCAGGTGTTTTTCTTCTCTACAGGTTTTGTGGTCCATATGCTAGGACTCATGGAAGTTTAGACTTGCTCCCCTTCACTGAGTTACACTGCTCTTAGAACTAGAGTTGGTCAAAAAAATCTGGACAAGTCTTTTTTTGTCAATGTGGCTTCACCAAAATCAGACTCCCGAAGGGAAAAATCTCAATTCCAATGAAATTCTTCTATTTTCTAATCAAGAAAATAAAATTTTGTTTTGAAAAGGTAGCTTGAAAAGAAAATATGCTTAAAATGCATATATTCATTTCAGAATGTCAACATTTTGTTTGGGAAATGCCAGTGTTTGTTTGGAAGCTTCTGAACTGACATCTCTTCTTCTCCCCCCTCCTACCCCACACACACTCGTTTGTGATTTTTTTCTACTTGTCTCAATTTTAAGTAAAACCAAACCTTGATCTTGAACTTCACTTAGGATCTGACCAGCTCTTCCAGGCTAGCAGTGTCTCCAGTTCAAAGCACAGCCTAAATACTCTCTTGACTTGAAAAACCCAATTGTGTATGGGGGGTGGAAGGTATTCTCATTAGAACTGGTGGGGAAATGTTGCAATTTTTAGCTTTGACCTCCAAAAGGACCTACACACAAAATGTTATCTTTTTATGGCTGAGTTCCTCCCTCCTTTTGTATTTTTTGTCTGGCTTAAATTTCCACCTAAGTAACAGAGGAATTTAATAGTGTAGTTTTCACAGCAGAACCAGTTGATTCCCATCAAATCTGTTTCAATTATGCTTTTACTTAACCTCATCTCTGTGGGATCTAGGCACCATGTACCAACATCCTTCATGCCTTTGGCTCAAAATGCCTTTGGCTCTCACTAGATTTACACCTTCCAGGAATCATTTAAATACTGGCAACTGAGAGTATAAAATTCTGCCGTCTTCTTGCCAAGAATGGAGCAGTTTCACACACTTCAGGCATGCTACTCGTCAGCAGAATGCCTCTGAGTGGGATTCTTGTGTAGTGAATGGCCAATGCTACTGAGGATACAAGCAGTTCCAGTGATTGTTTCTCAGGGGCTGAGGGGTGAAGTGAGTTCTGTGTTGAGAGCAGCATGTAGCCGGTTCAGCTTGTCTAGTCGTTTCCCCAGCAAACAGTAATGCTTTCAGAAGGATGACTTATAATTTCTCCTACAGCACAGCTGTGGACACAATCTCATTAGTGTCTAAACTTTTTTAACAAAATGGGGACCTGCAAAGGATTATTTTTAAAATTGAGTTTCAGCCCTTTTTCTGCTCCTTTTTCAGTGTGAGGGGGACTTGGAAGGTGGGCATTCCTCAGCTTGCTTTTCTTTTTACCTCTGCATATTTTAAACTGAGAAATAGTAGCTACAACAGATCTAGTCTGTTTGGCTTTACTGGAGAAGCTCTTACATGCCCAAAGAAATATATTGTTAGCTCTCACTTTAATTGAAGAAATGAGATTATGACTCTACCATCAGAAAATCTGAGCTAGTGAGAGAGGAAGGGATCTTTAGCTGGCCTGTTTACAACATTGGGGTAACTTCAATGACTAACAAAGGTTTCTTTAATCAAAATGTTAATGTTGCTTGTCCTCATTGTGTCTGGTGGACTAGATGTGGTGGGATTTTTCTAGTCTACAAAGAAAAATATTGGGGGAATGAATTAATCTTTTACGATCCCTTCATGAAAAACCAAACAGGACACAACCCATTTTTCCTTTTGCATTTGTTGCTATATGACGTTTGCCCTTGAGATTCTCTGTGCAGAAGTGATAAGATATAAAGAAAAATATTAAAATGAAAACCCCTTTTAGTTTCCTTTAGTCACAAACTACATGCCTAAACTAGTATTTGGGTGTTTCTAGTTACTTCTCCCAGCTCCAAAAGTATTCCTCTCTAGACACTTTTTGTTGGCAATTGTTGATGCAACCCAGCAATCCCTCAGTGCCAACTGGCCAGGGGGTTGCAAGAATATCCTGGTCCCAATATGTGCATTCTGTTTCACCAGAGAATGTCATGACAGCAGGATACCAATGGTCATGAATATAATGAAATGTATCTACAGATACTAGGAAGGAGTTATAGATGTACGCTGAAAATATGGTCCTAAAGTCTGTATCAAGTGAGTTGACACACATTTTCTTCCAGAACTATTTCTTGATTGGCTTTGTGAAGCAGCATAACAAAAGCCCTGGTACAGGTATGTGCAGTCCATGGGGAAGAAGCAGTCTTCAGGAAAATAAATGATGGGCAGGAGGTTACTGTCTCTGAGAACAGACTGTGAACTTTGGCAAAATGAGGACACCCTTCTATCCTGCACCTAGGAAGTAATCAGGCAGTGCAATTAATTTAATGAAAATGGATCTAAACCAAGCTTGGCTGAAATTCTGCCAAGGACATTTGCAGTGAGAAACTTTAGTCAGAGGCAAGCCTGTTAGGATTAGCCACTAGAAATTGTTTGTTTTTCTGTGTAACCCTTTTATTCTCATTATCCTCATTATTCTCTTGAAGCCAGAACCCTGTTAATACAATTGTTTTTCACAATAAACACATCTCAGTGCTGTAGTATTATCCAAGGACCTGATCCTTTTGAGTTGAATTATACAAGCTGGGATGTGCCCTGTTTCCTTGAGGACAGCAGTGCTGATATTTGTGAGTGTTCAGCTACAGAGTTAATGTGTCAGGGGGCTCAACTGCCTGGGGTATGTTTATTGTGACCCTGCAAGGCACAGCAAGGGCTGCCATCGCACAGAAGAGAATGTGGGTAGCTAACAGGCTTGTGGTGTCACAGGAACTGACACTCAATTGAGTACAAGCAAGTCTCCTTGCTGAGGATGGCAGGGGTGGAGGCAGAGAGGTTACAAGGTGGCTCGTAGCCCAGTGTACTGTTACAGATGGGCATCTTAACTTCTCTTAGACTTAAACTTACCCACAGAGTAGCTGGTCAGAATGGTGTGAAATGAAATGCCTACATGTGCTCAGGCTGTCTTGTAATCTGGAGCTGCTGAGACTTCCCCTTGCACACTTCCTCACGAAAACAATCAAGGTCCATGTATCACACACGAGCCTGCATTTAAACAAGCATGTAAAGAGCCTGGGTGCAGAAGAAATCAGGAGTGGGTTTCAATATCCTTTCAACAGGAAATGTCAGCCTTTTCCTCCTGCTTGCAATAGACCACTTGAAAATCCAGTCCTAGGGATTCGCTCGTATGACTTTCCTGGCTGAGCTCGGCAAACTTCCAAGGAATTGGGTAATGGCTTAAAACTGCAAGCTGGTCTCTATCAATACTGGCTTATGGTCTTCGTATCGTCTATAGTAGGCTGTGGGTATGTCTCTGGGGGAGCTGGCACGACAAGGCGTGATAGCCAGGGAGATATCGCTTGGCTTCTGGGGCAAATGAATGTACATGGAAGAGGCAGATGATGTTATACCTGGTCGCAGAACCACTTTTGGGAAGACATGGATTTCAGAGCACAAATTTGGCATGGTTGGCTGGTGTGAATTCTCCAGACTCCTGTTAAAGGCAAAAGTGAGAACAAATCAGTCTCATAATAGGACACGTCTCCCTTTGTTTCAACCCAACCCATTGGGCTCCATTCTATTAGAAATACACCAGGACAGTAGGCAGCTAGCATTTCTATGCTTATGGCAGCGTGGTGCAACCTTCCAAAAGGCAGCAGGCAATACTGCATTTAATGTGCTGCATTGCTGACCAGGCATGAAATAAGGAAGTTGGTAAACTCTTCCCTACTGCAAATCTGCCTTCCAATGCTCAGGGAGGACAAAAGGAAAATGGAGTTCTGAATTAATCCTTAGTAGGGTTCTAGTTATTTTGCAAACCAATCGCAGCTGATAAATCAGGACAAATGAGTAAATTCCTAAATGGGAGAGACCCAGTCTTGCAGGAAGGGTTGCTACAAATCAGAATTGTGATGCTTTAGCAGAACCCAGCACTGGGACAGCTGCAGTTTAGCATTACAACATCATAGCAATTCTCATCCCCCAATCTGCTCGGACAAGGCAGTGTTTGTGCAGGGGTGGGGAGGGAGAGAGCTCAATATTATGTTCTGTCCATGATGTGGAATAAAAGCCTTCGATGCCTTGTGTACAAAGAAGGGGAAGGGATCTGCAATTAATACTTCCCCCAGTGAAGAAGCCAGTCTGTGACTTGGGGGCTCTTCCTACGAACATTGTTGGATGTAACCTCTGTGGGTGAGCAGTCTCTATTGTAATGGCAACAGCAGTACCTTTGGAACCCCTGGTTACTGCACCCTGCCAGCGCCCCAGGGTACACAGAACTACGGAGGGTGGAGATGCGGTAATCAAGCCTGCAGTGGTGCTTCAGTTTCCCCAAAGCTCCTTGTTGCTTCTCCATTTCCTTGTTTGGGGTATCGGCTTGCCTTCCCCCCCAGCCCGTCCTGCTGAGCTGTTGCCTGGAAAGTGAAGTGAGAAACAATTAGATGTGCAGCAGAAAAGTTGCATTGGGCTCACGTTTTGGTGAGAATCAAAGGCATAAAGATTTTTCAGGGGTGCTGGTTTGAAGAATAAGTTGCAGTCTCAGTTAGTTGTATTTTTCAGGGCCACTTCATCAGAATGCAGAAAAATGTGTCTCAAAGAGAAGACAGGCTGACTTAATAGGCAGTAGGTTTAAAACAAACAAAAGGAAGTTTTTCTTCACTCGGCACACAGTCAACCTCTGGAACTCCTTACCAGAGGATGTGGTAAAGGCTAGGACTTTAAAAGGGTTCAAAAAAGAGCTAGATAAATTGGAGGTTAGGTCCATCAATGGCTATTAGCCAGGATGGGTAGGAATGGTGTCCCTAGCCACTGTTTGTCTGGAAATGAGTGACGGGAGGGATCACATGAGAATTACCTGTTGTGTTCCCTCTCTCTAGGGCATCTGGTATTGGCCACTATCAGCAGACAGGATACTGGGCTAGATGGACCATTTGTCTGACTCAGTATGGCCATTCTTATGTTCTTTGCTACACCTGAGACATTTTGCAGACTAACACATTGGCAAAGTTGATTATTTACGGAGAATGATGGTGGTTTTGATAGAACATTTCTCAACAAAAATTCCCAATTTCATTTGAAAACTATTAACCAGGTCTACCTTTTACCATGCCAGGGAGCAATGGCCTGAGATACAAATGCTGCATAGACAGTGCATAAGGTGACTGGGGAAGGGGGCTGACTTCAGTTACTCTCCCTTCGTCCAGGCAGTCTGCACATGCAGGAGTCTGTGTGTGGCATTGAGCCCTACTTACTCAGACTTTCACTGCAACGTGAGAGAGGGCAAGATGTGAATGGGTTAACTCTTGCTGTGCTCCCCCCTGTTGTTTCCCAAGGCTTTATATTTATATACAGGTCATTAACTAGATATTTCAACTCAAATTTATTCTGTTTAACTCTTAAACTACATTAGACTGTGCTACTTAGTGCAATGTCCCATCTCCGATAGTGACCAGTAACAGATGCTTCAAAGGAGGGTTAAAAATAATCCCATTCACAATTATGGAATAAGCTGCCTCCAAGGAAAAGTGTCCTAACCCCCATCACTCAGTGGGTGGCTTGAAGCTTGAACATGAGATCTTTAGACCTCTTTAAAAATATCCTCTCTAATGTAACGGTAGATGTTCCCATAGTGCACATTTATGTCTATTGCTCTATCGTACGAAGCACTTGTCCATAATGCTTTCTTGTAGCAGTGAGTTCCGCAAGTTTAACTAGGCATGATGTAAATATGTATTTCCTGTTGCCAGTTCAGTTTATCCTTGTTCAGTGTTTCTTGGAACAAGGAGCTGACCTATTCAAAAGGGTTCTAGTTACTTCTGGCTGTTCTTCACTAGTCAATAAGTGCAAGGATTTGAGACACAAAGGGGAAGACTCCAGCTCTTCCAGGACACCTAGGGTTTTCTGTTGTGTGAATGGAACAAAGTTGATCAAAGAGAATCTGCCAGATATTGGGTATACATATGGTGTCTGGTCCCAGATGACCTAGGAGGCCTGCTGGATACATATGACATTCTCAGCTGTATAGAATGAAAACTCCTTGCTATGAGCAGCAGTGCCCTCTGTGTGGACTGGTCGCTTTGGCTTGATGAAGTAGGCCCACACACCCTTCTAGCCCCAGTTACATGCAGTGCTGCCAGTTTAGTCATTGGTTGGAAAATGAAGTTGAAATTGAAACATTAATACTCTAAAAGCATATGCAATATATGAGAAAATACTTGGTACCCGAGAGAGCATAATGGGTTTAAGAAGTATAAACAAAGACTTGCTTCCTCATACAGCTGTTATTTATGACAATGTTGGTGCCCTTTTCAGCTATCTTGGCCAACCTAATAATTTCAAATGATTTGTAAGCAGGGTCTGAATGAGTTCCCCCTCCCCTCCTCTCCCCTCCCCCCCGACAGCTAGTGATGAGCAGGTGGTGGGTGGAAATGCTTCAGGACCAAAGTGTATTAACAGGAGCACATCTACTCTGCTTAGGTATCCAGCAGACCAGAGCCATATGTCCCACGGTGATGGGAACTGGAGCAACTTGGCAGGTGCTTTGCTTCCTGCCATCATGAGTGCAAGGGTGGGGGGTGACTTGCTGCTGCCCCGTGCCAGGCCGCCCTAGTAATCCCTGGCTCACATTGCTGGGGGGATGGGATAAGGGGGCAGTGCAGGGGCAGGGGGATTTGCCTTAGGCCCTGTGCCCTTCTAGGAATGGCCCTGCAGCAGACACAGTTGTGCTGCCCAAATGATCAGTTTTGGCTGGGATTGACTTACAAATTGCTGATAATTGGGTCCACGTGCTTAGATCTGCTATGAGAGAGTGCACCTGTGTAAGCCACACCCCAGCCTGAAATCACTGAGAACCTTCAGAGACTAACTCAGAGCTCACAGTGGCAGGGTGTAGCAGAAGGCGATGGTGCAGAGCCATTAGGGATGGAGCAGTGGAGTGAATGGTGGCATGACAAACAACAGCGCCAGAGCATTTGTTTGTTGGACCATGTTTTACTGACTTTGCTCCGGAGTGCTAGATTGTGAGTGGGAAATGTATATAATGTTTCCTAGGAGGCCAAGATTTTTAAAATGCACTATTTAACAAGAACGTTCGTTCTCACTTCATTGCTATCTTGAGAAGTCATTATCTTGGGGAATTTTTCTACTAAGTGTTTGTTATAATTTTTAATGTAAGAATGGTCATACTGGGTCAGGCCAATGATCCATCTACCCCAGTATCTGGTCTTCCAACAGTGGCTATTCCAGGTGCTTCAGAAAGAATAAACAAGGAATCATTTAGTGATCCATCCCCTGTTGTCTATTCCCATCTTCTGGAGATTGGAGGCTAGGGACTCCCAGACCTAACTATCCTGGCTAATAGCCATTGATGAACATAAACTCCAAGAACATATCTAGTTCTTTTTTGAGCCCTTTTTTGAGTTCCAATGTTCCCTCTAATCCAGTGTTTCTTAAACTGTGTTCTGCGGCACACCGGTGTGCCACGAGGCAGTTGGAGGTGTGCTGGGAGAACAGAGTTAAAAATGGCCACGCTTAAAGGGGGAGGTGACCTTTTACCCGGCCTCCCCCCCTTTTTTTGCTCAACAAAAAAGTCTTCGGTGTTCCCCATTAAATATATAATTATTTGGTGTTCCTCGGTCTTAAAGTTTAAGAAACACTGCTCTAATCTTTTCTATCCGTGTGCAACCTTTTTTCATCTATTTGTGCAATAAAATTTTGTGCAGAGGCATGTATGAATATGCACCAGCAGAGCGCTGTGGGAGCTCTTCTAATTGGATGGGTGGCATCCGAATCTTTCCTCAGTAACTGCACAAGTGCACAGCTTATAGGGAATATTGCTCTGTTCTAATTTTGACCTAAACAACACCCCTGGCAAAAAGTTCCACAAGTGACTGTGCATTGTGTGAACAAGTACTTCCTTTTGTATTAAACTTAATGCCTCTGAATTTCATTGGGTGATGCTTAGTTTTTGTGTTAAGTGAAGAGTAAATAACACTTCCCTATTTATTTCCTCCACAACAGTCAAGATTTTGTCGTAGCCCCTCTTAGTCTTCTCTTTCCTGAGCTGAAAAGCCCAATTCTTTTTAATCCTGCCTCATATGAAATCTGTTCCATACCCCTAATCATTTTTGTTGCCCTTTGCTGTACCTTTTCCAACTTCAATGTATTTTTTTTTGAGATGGGGTGCAAGATGTGGGCATATCATGGATTTATATAGAAAAAGTGGAGGCGCTTGATTTGCCAGGCTCATCATTCAAGCCAGTACTGACAGCGTATCTGAAAAGGCTGCAAAACACCATGCCTCTGGACTGCATCAACAAGCGGAAAGCTTTATAAGCCAGTCATTGTCAAAGCTGAATTTAGAACAACTCAATGAGGCTTTTAAGAATGCTGGAGACACAATTCAGTTTGTGAAGCAATGTAGCTGTTACATCATACTTTCTATTTAAGCAGGGGAGACCACACACTACAAACTGGAGGCTAATGTTAAATGCATTGTGACTGTTAATCCTGAAACTGAACACTGGTTCTGAACAAGTCTGGCAAATGCCTGCTGTTTTTCTAAAAACTCAGCTGATTCTCTCTAGAAGCATGCAGGACAACAGTGAAAGACTAAGCAGTTGAAAAAGTGAAGAACTCTCTCACCATATTCAAAAAAGGTGCATACATAGCTGATGAATATGCCAATGCAAATAGACATCAAGTATTAAGTCATGGTGTAGATTATCTTGATGTGTGTGGCAAGCCAGTAGATGCATTCTAGTTGTTCAGGTTATAGAAGATGCATTTGATAGTCACAAACTTCTCGGGATGACATAGTGGAGAACAAGCTTTGCTCAATGAAAAGCGTAACCCTAATCTCTGCAGAGGCCATCTACTTCAGCTAGTGCTAGCTAGTATGGGCTGCAGCATCTTCACAAGACAACCAAAAGTCATAAAGGTAATGGTTTTGTTATACTCATGGGCTATGTCTACACTCTCAGCTTCTTGCACAAGTACAGCCGCTCTTGCACAAGAATCTGCAGAGCCTTCACAGCCCTCCCGCTCTTGCGCAAGGAAATTTACAGTACGGCGTGGTAAGACATGGCTTCTAGCGCAAGCGCTACGCTCTTTTCTTAATCAGGTGTAAGCCTTCTTGCGCAGGAGCTCTTGCGCATGGCTTCTAGCACAAGCGCTACGCTCTTTTTTTAATCAGGTGTAAGCCTTCTTGCGCAGAGCTCTTGCGCAAGAGGGCAGTGTGGACACTTGGCAGGGATTTCTTGCGCAAGAAACCACTATGGCTAAAATGGCCATCAGAGCTTTCTTGCGCAAGAGAGTGTCCATACTGCCATGGGAGCTCTTGTGCAAAAGCACAGCTTGCATATGGCAGTGTGGACATTTTCTTGCACAAGACTTCTTGCACAGGAACCCTTGCGCA